TTTTTCTGGTTATAAAAGTGATACAGTAAGCCCTGCACAGTGGCACATGTCTGTAATCCCAGCAGCTGGGGAGGCTGAGATGGGAGGATCATGAGTTCAAAGCCAGCCTCAGCAACATTGAGGTGCTAAGCAACTCAGTAAGACCTTGTCTCTAAATAAAATACAAAATAGGGCTGGGGATGTGGCTCAGTGGCCAAGTATCCTGAGTTCAATCCCTGGTACCCCCAAAATAATAATAGTAATAATAAAATAAAATCACTACAATAAAAAGGGGGTGAAAATGTAATCCATGGTATATTTAAACAATTGTGAAATTTAAGCAGTTATAAATTTATTCAAAGAGGTCAAAGAAATGTTTTTATTAAAAATCATCTAGAATTTGTTACTTATACATTATCATTATTATTATTTTGTTGTCTCTCAAATTTTTTTCTTTATATATATATTAACACACAGATTGACCTCATTCTTATTCTAAAAATACTGATTATACTACTCTTACCTTGTAGCCTGCCTCTTTTTTTTTTGGGGGGGGGGGTAACTGGGGATTTAGCCCAAGGCAATTTGCCATTGAGCCACATCCCTAGCCCTAGCCCTTTTGAGACAGGACCTCACTAAGCTTCTGAGGCTAGCCTTAAACTTAAGATCCTCCTGTCTCGGCTTCCCAAGCCTCTGGGATTATAGGTGTACACCACCACTCCCAGCCCAGCTTTTTTTTCCATAAAAATGTTACATTTATCTTTGTATAGCAATATGAGGATATTTTTGTCATTGTTTTTCTCTTACTACCCCGCTACTTCTCTCAATTTTTATATTTTGTGAAGACAACTTATTATAACTCAGGCCTTACTCATCACAACATCTATTATGATGGTAGTCATCATCCTAGTATTTCAGTCAAAAAAATTAAATTATAGTTACCCTTGCCAAAAGATAAAGTATGAAGCAATTATATATTCCTTTGAAATTGTTAAATTTGTCCCTTAAATTACCATTTAAGAAATTCATTGCAAAGTTCAGTTAGATCTGTAATTGTGTTAAATTCTGAGGCACCTGGGTCCTATCTATTCCTTATCTTTGATGAGAAGATGGTGAATGAAGTGGGAAAGATCAACAGTTTGCTTGAAAATAGCAATTAGATACACAACTGTTCGTTTACTTCCTTCCCCATGTTGTAGCCTTTCCCCTCCTACAGCCAACAAAGAAAGGTGGCAGGAGAAGCCAGCTCATGATACTGACATTGTAAAGAGTTGCTGCTACTGGTTCACTGGACTCTAAATTGTTATTCAAAAGATTGAGGAACAGTGTATGGCACTGATGTAAAGTCCAATTTAAACATGACACAAAAAACATTTTTGCATTTGCACAATAAGCAAGCAATGCTGCTGTTGCAATGCCAGAAATGAAGAAACATCTCCTGCTTAATTACTTGCTCAGATGGCTGATCATTATGACATTGATGGTGACATTAATCTGAAATGTTTGGGGATACAATAATAAGTCGATATCTCAGAAATATCTAATTTTGGTTAAAATAGTCTTCCATGTGTTCTGTTGTTGAACTAAAGCCCACTTTCTTCCAAAATATTTGGGCATACAATTTTTAAAACACTGTAATCTTGGTTTCCATGCTTTACGTTTCACCTTCCCAAGATTTATACTGAATAATAATATTCTGAGTAATAATATACAGAAGAATTATAAGTTAACACTCAGACTTATGTTTCAGCTTCTCTTTAAATGCTTTACATATTTACTCTAATTAGAGATGGGAGCAATAAGACCAATTAGTGCCAATATTTATTTGAGGCTATTTGGCAGTTAAGCCTGATATCATTCCTAATCAGTATATTTAACTTATTCCCAAGCATTAGAGCCCTTCAAGGATCAGAATTCAGTAATGATGCCTCTAATTGACTCTACTAGGCCTACTTTGCTAGCTGGTAAAATGGGCTACCAGTCATAATGGCTTAAAAATGGAAATTGTTTTATTATATTTCTAGGTATTGGAACCAAGAGGTGTTGGGTTTAAAAAGAAAAAAAAATGTTTAGCAACGAAAGTGATCAGTAGAGTTTAGACAGAAAGAAAGGTCCATGTGAAGCTGACAAATGAAATAAGAGTATGAGGGGTTGTTGTGAAGCTCAGTGGTAGAACATTTGCTTTGTTAGTATGTGTGAGGCCCTAGGTTCAATCCCCAGAATGAAAGGAAGGAAGGAATGGAGGAAGGGAGGGGAGGAGTAAAAACATGAACAAAGATTTTCCATCAAAGTTTGTGAAAAAAACTATTTCCTAGTCTAAATGCCTAATCATAAACACTGAGAATTACATTTCTAAAAGCTTAGAATTTCAGAGCCAGAAGGGACCTTAAGGAATCATCTTTTCCAACTTTCTTCACATCATAGTTGAAGAAAACCAGATCTCAGAATCGATTTGCCCCAAATCTCAGAACAAAAATGGCTAACATTGAGACTCTTTTAGCCTCTTTTGTTTTTCTAGTAAAAATCATTGGCTTGCTCCCTACTCCTGATGGACAGAAGTTCTTGAATCTTTCTCTTGGTTGCTCTTGAAGAAATCTAAGGAGGTTGGGGTTTTAGACCTCTGGATTCTCCTCTGGCTGCCATGATCCTACTTTTTGTAGCTTGAACAAATCATTTCTCCAGATTTTGATGTGGGGGAAAATGTTACTAAATGCTTTCTTATCTTTAAATACAACAGGTATATATAAGCAGGTGTCTGTCTGAGGGAGTAAACCAAATAATAAAAAAGGATCAGATCATTAAGTGATCTTACTACATTTTGAGTGACTGGTGTTCTTTCTAGAAATATTTGCAACTTTAAAGGATAATACTTAAATGCTATTTATTTGGTATAAATTTTTAAAAATGAATAAACATTTCAGGAGTGGGAATGTAGCTCAGCAACAAAGTGATGGCCTAGCATGTGTGAGACCCTAGGTTCAATCCCCAGCACCAAAAAAAAAAAAAAAAGAAACAATTAATGGGTAGGGATATATTGGTGCCCTGGGCAAGTCATCCTGGCCTAGGATGCATTCAACACCCCTAGGCTATTACTGTTTTTCATAATCTCTTCCCTTCCTCAGTTTGTTAACTCTAAGTCCCAAACTTTCTCCTTAATGGTTGTCATTGGCTATAGAGGTATTTGGAAGTATTTCTGCTTGTAAATACAGATCACTTATAATTATGAAGTTATGAGTCAGATCTGCCTATATTTGCTAATTATATTAAGAGAAAAAGAGAGAACAAAATGTTTTTGTTGCTTCTGCCTGGTCTGGAATTTCAGGGAAGTAAAGGAACACTCCGGTTATCCAGAGCCAGATTGACTGTTAAAAGTTCAGGCCATCATTTTGACATTTCATGTTGGACTTTCTTTTTGTAAATCCCTCTTCACATTACTAGCATTGGTCTTAGAGCTCAAACTGTTTCAAAACCATAACATTTCTTAGTGAGTGATTGATCTGTATTATGTGTCCAGCCATCAGGGGAATCTTGGGATGTTGCTTGTATAAACTGTAATCCAATCTGATGCTGTGCATTTAGTTACAGTCTTTCATAGACCTATAGGCGATACTCAATCCTCCTGGATTTGGGAATAGGGCTTATCTGATACCTTCAGGGGGAAAAAATCCATTCATTTTTCTCTCTTCCCCACTTAAATAACTCAACACATCTGGTAACACTGTAGGATCATTGTCCTTCCAGTTCCTCTGCAGCTCATATTGCTACAATATTTCTTAAGTATTTAGTTACCTAAAGAACAATGTGATTAAAAATATAAAAGACTTTGTATAGGTCTTACAAATTAACCCATCTCTAGAGCTAGAAAAAAATATGCCTTTAATCAGCAAAATTACCATATCGACAGCCCTGTGTGTGTTAGTATGAACGTAAACAGAAAAATGTTAATGTGTTAAAATTTTAAAGCAAGTCTTTTTACAAATTAATGTAATTTGCCTCTAAAGAAAATGTTTATGAAGTGCCAAATACCTGAGACTGAAGTATCCTTTGGCATAATAATGTCTTCAATTACAAGAACGATAAAAGCTGAAACAAAATCCTTTAATTCAATCAGGGCTGAGCTAAATTTTTAGGAAGCAAAGAGTGGAAATCAGATACAGGACTGCATAATGTAGGAAGTTAAATATACCAGATATTAAGACTTCATAAGAAGCGGATGGGGTTTCCTTGAGGAATGCTTGTTTGAAATGGCTGTATTGAACACCATCATTAATACCACTATTTTATTATCTTGTGTTAAGATGTTTTATGCAAACAAACTGTTAACTGTGCCATAGTTCCAGAGAGACCAGTTACTGTTTTCTGCTTGTTCTACATTCTGGAATAAGTTCAAAGCTTTTGATTTTACTTGAGTCATGATAATAATACAGGTTTGATGAATATGATCTCAATATTGTGGTTCTGTAAAAATTTTCAGTGTTTGCAGAACATTTGACCCAGGGGCCCTACACCACATATATCCATAGTTCATTTTAAGTATTACAGAATGAACACATTTGAAAGATTAACCATTCTCTTACTGCTGCTTTTCTTTCTGTATTAAGTATGAAAATTAGCATAGTAACGGCTCCCAGAATGGGAATGCTGAAAAAGTATCCACCTGACAGAAATAAACATGCAGAAAATAAATTGAGTTAGGATCGCATTCGTTATCTGAAATTTAAGCTCATGTTCAAAATGGCTATTACTGGATTTTCATGTACATTAGTTAAATGCTAAGCTTAAAAGATTTTTTTTTTTTTTGGCTTGAATTATAACTGAAAAAAAAAATTGGATCGCAGCTTTAATATCCAGGTGGGCAGTGCCATTTGCCAGGATCTTTGAACATAAGTCCTGTTTTTTGTTGTTGTTTCTCTCAAGCACAAATCCTGCCTTACTTACTAAAAATCTTCTGAAGGATGCTGAGGTATAAATGGTGATGTATTTTCTTAGTGTCTCTTCTAATTTTTTCTTTGTTTTTTTAGGTTGTGGAACTTTTAGCAAGTGCTCTTATGGACTTGGTACAAGGAGTATACCATGAAAATTCTACTTCAGCCAAGGTAAGGATTTCAGAGTCATTGTAAAACCTTAGGTTAGAAATGCTCATGGCAAAAATAGAATTGATAAGCTAAAAATGTCAATCTTGTTTTATGTTTAAACTGTATGTGACTTGTTTTTTTGGTTTTTTTGTTGTTGTTGTTTTGGTTTTTTTTTTGTTGTTGTTAAATAAGATTAGTGTTTTGGCTACAAATTCATTACCACACACTTAGTACAGGCCAGATTTAGCCAATTAAAACAACCTCTTCTCCTCTGGATGGATTTGCAGTCTTTTCAATCTACAGCAACCAGTAGACATGGGAAGCTTGTAGCTAGCAGGTAGCACTGTCCCTGATGGGCAGGCTGGAGATCGCAACTTGTGCCTATATGAATGGGCCGAGACTTTCCCCTGAGGAAGGAGCTCCTGTATCCCTGAAGAGTGGACCATGACCCCAAGAATATGGCTGGCTGTGAGTTGGGGGAGGAATGTCTTTTATATACAAGATCCAAAATTTACTACATTATTAGATTCTCTGTGATGAGAAGTAGGATGGTTGCACAGTTGGATTATTTTAATTTTCTGAGTCTAGAATTAAGGGGGGTTTTTTGACTCATTTAGCAGAACATCTCAAAAAAGGTTAGGTTTTATTTCCTTAAAATGCAGTTATTTCATTTCAATAGGAGATTAGATATGAAGTAATTGCTTCATTGACCACCACCATCATTTACCAAGCTATATACTATTTATAAGGGACTCCTCTCTCAGTGTTTCATTATTCTAACTTCTTTAGCTTCTGTGTTAGCAAGATTTCACTCACTGCAAATTAGAAAAAATATGCATGTATGCACATATGAAACATTAACATTTCCATTTGAAGAAAAGAGACAAATTTTACTAGAAGTGAAATGTAGAGCATGAACAAGTTGAATTAAAAAAATTTTAAGTATAACCCAGGGACTCTGTATGGTTCAGAGAGTGGTTAGTGAAATATGAAGAATTGCACCTTGAACATCTGCTAACATTTGATTCAGGGAACCACAGTTCCCAATAGGCACATCTAATCTTACCTAAGCAGCATATTGATATGTGGGGGCCTCACAAGATTTATAACCACAGTGGACCCTCTGTAGTCTTTTTCAAAGACAAGCATGGTTCTCTACTTTGACTGAGGGTCAATGTCATAATGTAAAATGGGTGATTTCTGGTGTAGTTTCATTTATAGAAAGTCGCCTTGTATGTAACATGGTATGGTGATAGCTAAACAAGTAACATTGTGGTAAGCCATTTTTCTGTGTTTCTTCCTTTAATCTTCATAAAAATCATGAGCCATAGATCCTACTACTACTCCCATTTTGCAGATAATGAAAACTGAGGTTTAGAAAAGATTTTCCCAAGACCACACAACTTGTAAACTGGGATTTGAACTTCAGACCCCAGGTTCTTAATCTCTTATTCTACTGCCTCTCTACCTTAACTGTACTTTATTTGGTAGCCTCCATTTTCCATACCTGAGGTCTCATCATGTGTTGATGACTGACTTATATGAGAGTTGAGGCATTGCTTTCCCTTGGGATACTTCCAAGGAATTCAACTTAGTTCAATAAAAGATCTTAATATTTTATGCTTAAATGCCTAATCTTTAAGTGAAAGTGTTATGGTTGGTTTAGGCTCTTAATTTATCCACTCACCATTTATCTACTATAATTAGCCCAGTTCATTAATAACTTTGTAAACATTTGTTAAGTACTTTTATATGTCAGGCAGACCTAATAAAAACAACAATAATAAATGATTAAATAGCACTTTACAGTTTACTTATGCTTCTTTGTTCACAATCGCCTAGGCTGAAAAGGGAGACATTTGTCAGTAATTTCATTTTATAGAGGAAAAGCCTGAAATTCAAAAATGACGAATGGCAGGAAAGCACAGTATCTGAAAATTGTTAGAATTATTAATGTTTAAGTGTTAGATCTGGAAAGCAGTATGGAGATTCCTGGGAAAGCTGGGAGTGGATCCACCATTTGACCCAGCTATCGCCCTTCTCGGACTATTCCCTGAGGACCTTAAAAGAGCACACTATAGGGATACAGCCACATCAATGATCATAGCGGCACAATTCACAATAGCTAGACTGTGGAACCAACCTAGATGCCCTTCAATAGATGAATGGATAAAAAAAATGTGGCATTATACACAATGGAGTATTATGCAGCACTAAGAAATGACAAGATCATAGAATTTGCAGAGAAATGGATGGCATTAGAGCAGATTATGCTAAGTGAAGCTAGCCAAGCCCTAAAAAACAAATGCCAAATGTCTTCTTTGATATAAAGAGAGCCACTAAGAACAGAACAGGAAGGAAGAGTGTGAGGAAAAGACTAACAGTAAACAAAGATGAATGGGGGAGAGAAAGGGAGAGAGAAGGGAAAGCATATGGAAATGGTAGGAGACCTTCAATGATACACAAAATTATAAGAGGTTATGAGGGGCAAGGGGGAGGGGAAAAAAGGGAGAGAATTGAACAACAGCAGAGGAGGTAGAGAGGGAAGATGGGAGGGGAGGGGAGGGGAGGGGGGATARTAGGGGATAGGAAAGGTAGCAGAATACAACAGTCACTAATATGCCATTATGTAAAAATGTGAGTATGTAACAGATGTGATTCTGCAATCTGTATTTGGGGTAAAAAARGGAGTTCAAAACCCAATTGAGTCAAATGTATGAAAGATGATATATCATGAGCTCTGGAATGTTTCGAACAATCAATTAAAAATAAAAGTATTAGATCTGAACCAAGTGTTTTGATTCCAAGTCCATGCTTTCTCAAATATAATCTGTTTCCTCCTGTAAAAGAGAAAAGAGAGAGCAACAAAGACTTTGAAGGACTGTTGCTCATACTGGGAACAACCACTGAGAAAGCACCATTTTCGGACTCTCTCATTAGTTAATAAATTTTACTCAAAAGAATCTGTAGCAGGAGCTGGAATTGTGGCTCAGCAGTAGAGGACTCGCCTAGCACTGGCAGGACCCGGGTTCGATCCTCAGCACCACATAAAAATGAAGGCATTGTGTAGTGTCCATATACACCTAAAAAATAAATATTTTTTTTAAAAAAAGAAAGAAAAAAAAAATCTGTAGCAATGCTTTGTTCATCTGGCCTTTTTCCCTACCACCTCCCTGAACAGAGTCTTTTAAAACATTTGAGTCTTTATTTAAGCAGTGAAGTTTCAGAATATAGCTAAGCCATTTTAAAGCACCATTCTTTTTTAATAATGGAAACAAAAATGCATAGTTTAACCACAGCAGTGAGAATGCTTCTTGCTGCCTTTATTTATGCCCTAGGTTCACTTTAGGTTAACCACATTTCCCTTCCTAACCAGAAAATTTCTGCGCCACCCCCCACCCCTGCCCCCAAGCATGCTTGCCATTGCAATGACTTTTCAGAATTTGGTTTTTCTAACTTGGTCCAGGAATTGCTTCAGAAGCAGAGTGAGGGAGCACTGCCCCCACATGGAGTGCCTTCAAGGTTTTCATATTAGGACACTAACAGGGTAGCAGCCACAAGCAGAGGTCGTGTGGGAAGGGAGGCCAACTCTGTGGGTCTCTGTTGCACAACCTCCATAGCCTGGGGCCAATTCAGTACACAAAAGAATTGCTTTGGATTTAAAATACACTGGAAACCATTCCTTCTCTCTAGGGGTAAGAAGACACAATAGCAGTCTGTTTTCTAGATGGCAACTTAATGCAGTGATGGAGAAGTGGGTAGTAGGAAACTTGGTTTCTGTAGAGTGGTATCTACATGCCTAAGGTGGATACATTAAAGCAAAGTGAGGGGAAATGGAACTGGATACATTAGAAATCACCTTCTCAAACTGTTGTAAGTTTGTGATTACTTAATTCTCCTTAAAGTGTGACAATTTATGTGATTAAGTTACCAATACTTAACATTGTAGATAAATTGTAATCATGAAAACATGCAGAGTACTTTGTTCCACCCATTGAAAAAAATATTTTTATTTTTGTATTTGCTAGTTTATGAACCATTTTTTCCTTAAAATAGAAATTAGCTGTTGTGCTTGTTTCAGCATTTATCAGAAAATATTTTCCCTCTATTTTTTATAAGGTTCTGCCTTATGTATAACACTCATGTACTCATTATACCTGCTAAATATTTTACATTTTAACAAAATTGACTTTGGTTCCACTCTTTAGTAGCTAAAATCTTTTCAAAATTATCTTATTGTTATAACTTATTTGTTGATTAGAAAAGCAAATATATGTTCATTAAATGAAAAAGTTAAAACATAGAAAAAGGCTGAAAGGAAAATAAAAATCATTTTATATAATCATCTTCCAGAAATGAGTAATGATTATAAAATGATATGCTTCTCTCTAGTTTTCATTCCGTATTTCTCACATTTTTGAGATATTGCTGTATTTATATTAAATTTATTATCTCATTTTACTTTATTGTCATTAGAATTTTCAAAAATATTAATGCCTATTTAGTATTTCTTAATTCTAGTATACTATATTGAGCCATTCTATAATTTTAGATGCTTTATTTATATTTTTAACTAACTTACATAATATTGTGATAACAACTTAGTATATGTAGCTTTGCTTTACTTTTCACTGTCTTTTAAAATCCTGAAAGTGAGTGCGTGCATATAATCTCAGTGGCTAGGAGGCTGAGGAGGAGCATCCCAAGTTCAAAACGAGCTTTATCAGTTTAGCGAGGCCCTAAGCAACTAAGCAAGACCCTGAGTTTAATCCCTGGCACCAAAAAAAAAAAAAAAAAAACACTGAAATTGAGATTCTTGAATTTAAAAACTATGAATATTTTCATATATATCCTTATACAGAAGATAATTACTTTCCTTAGGAAAGCCTACTATATAGTTGGCCTGTGACTGTCATCTCTGAGAACTTGGATTTTAGGGGTGTTCCCACCTTTTTCTGATAAGAATGACCCAGGGTACCTATACAGTTTCTGCAGACCACGTGGTTTATGCCAAACACCTG